CAATAAGTGCATTGTATCAAATTATAGTTTGATGATAGTAGATTTAAACATTAAAGGGAAAGTTCGCCCAAAAATGAAAATTAGCCCAGAGTTGCTATTACATTTTTTTCTGGCTCTTCCAAGCTAAATAATGGGAGTCAATGGGTATATTTTTTTGGAAGTCCATCAAAGCGCATCTATCCATGGTCAAGGTGCTCCACACGGATTTTTAAAGATTAAAGACAACTTAAAACTAAACTAACTTTTTTTTAGTTTAACATTTTTTGGGTCCAGGTAACCAAGAAATAATACACATTATTCTTTTACATCTAGGGAGAGCAGGGCTTTTTGACTTTCTCAGTTTGTAAAAAATCCATTTGGGTTCAGGGTATTTATTTTTTCCCACATTAATTTAACACGATTTGGGTTAGGGTTAGGGTGGGTTAGGGTAATGAGTGTGAATGCGTGTGTGTACGAGGATGCAATAACAAATATGACCAGCAGAGGGAGATAGAGTAAAGGAGAAGGATACCAGGATCATGACAGTACCCCCCCCCCCCCCCCCCCCCCCCCCCTTGGCGCAGATGAGGAGGAAGACTGGCGGGACCGGTAGAAGTCATCGATCAGCGAGCGGTCCAGGACGTCCCGGGATGGAATCCAACTTCTCTCCTCAGGACCGTAACCCTCCCAATCCACCAGATACTGATGGCCACGACCTCGAGGGCGGACGTCAAGAATCTTGAGAACACTATAGATGGGAGCGCCCTCAACTCTGACAGGAGAAGTGACAGGACGAGGAGGGGCGCGAATAGCGGGCTTTATACAGGACACAGGCCGAAGGTTAGCGGACAACTTAAGCTTGACAGATACAGGACTAAGAATTTCAAGAACACAGAACGGGCCGACAAATTTTGGTGCCAGCTTACGCGAAGGGGATTGGAGAGGAAGATTAGTAGTGGACAGCCAAACCCTCTGACCCACAGAATAAAGAGGGCTCTTGACTCGACGCCTATTAGCAAACCGTCAGGTAAGGGAACGGGACTTGCAAAGAGCAGATCTAACCCCCCTCCAAGTGCGTTTAGCACGCTGAATAAAGGCTTGGACAGATAGTAATTTAGAGTCGTAGTCTTGTGAGGAGAATAGCGGAGGCTGGTAACCAAGACAACACTGAAACGGGGATAACCATGTAGCGGAGGACGGCGCGGAATTACTCAGCCCAGGGAAGCTGTTCTGACCAGGAGGCAGGGTTACGCAACGTGAGGCTGCGGAGAATACGACCGATAGTCTGGTTTGCTTGTTCGGCCTGGCCATTGGTTTGAGGGTGGAAACCGGAGGAGAGACTCGCCGACGCACCAATCAAACGACAAAATTCCTTCCAAAACAAGGAAGCAAATTGGGGACCCCTGTCGGAAACAACATCCGTGGGGAGACCATGGATCTTAAAAATCCTGTCGACGACAATTTGGCCCGTCTCCTTTGCAGACGGGAGTTTAGGTAACGGAACGAAACGAGTGGTTTTAGAAAAAACGGTCAACAACAGTAAGTATCAAGGTGTTACCCTCAGAAGGAGGGAGACCAGTGATAAAATCCATAGCGATGTGCGACCACGGGCGAAAAGGCAACGGGAGAGGACGTAGCAGACCGGCTGGAGGGTAATTACGAGACTTAGTCTGAGCGCAGACTGTACACGAGGCAATGAAACGACGAACGTCGCGCTCATACGAGGGCCACCAAAACCTCTGACGAATGGCGGCGACGGTGCCCCGGACGCCGGGATGGGCGAAGAGTTTGGACGAGTGCCCCCACTGGAGGACAGCTCGACGAGCAGAAGGCGGAACAAATAAAAGACCCTTGGGACAAAGACGAGGAGTAACGGCGTGGGTAAGAGCGCGTTTAACCAAACATTCTATTCCCCAGACAGCTGCACCCACCACCATGCCCTGAGGAAGGATCTCCTCCTTACTGGGAACAGCCTAGGAGGAAGAAAACTGTCGCGAGAGAGCATCCGGTTTGAGGTTCTTAGAGCCGGGACGGTATGAGATAGAGAAATTAAAGCGCGTAAAGAAAAGTACCCAACGGGCCTGACGAGCGCAAAGTCTCTCAGCAGAGTGAATGTACTCTAAATTTCTATGGTCCGTCCAGACAATGAATGGAACAGCGGTACCTTCAAGCCAGTGACGCCACTCACCGAGAGCCAAACGAATGGCCAATAATTCACGATTGCCCACGTCATGATTTCGTTCGGCGGGTGAAAGACGGTGCGAGAAATAAGCGCAGGGGTGAATCTTGCCATCAGAGAGTGAGCGTTGGGAGAGGACAGCTCCCACGCCCACCTCCGATGCGTCGACTTCAACTATGAATTGTCTGGAGACGTCGGGAGTTCGTAAAATAGGAGCGGACGAAAAAAAAGATTTAAGACGATCAAAAGCAGCTTGCGCATCCTCCGCCCAGGAAAATCAGACCCTGGATGACGTAAGGGCAGAGAGAGGCGCGGCAATCTGGCTAAAGTTGCGGATAAACCGACGATAAAAATTTGCGAAACCTAGAAAGCGCTGCAGGGCGACGCGCGAGTCGGGGACTGGCCATTCTGTGATGGCACGCACCTTGGAAATGTCCATACTAATGCCGTCAGCAGAAACCACGGATCCAAGAAAAGGAATAAACTGCGCGTGAAACTCACATTTCTCGGCCTTAACGAACAGTCGATTCTCGAGGAGACGTTGGAGAACCTGACGAACGTGTTTAGTGTGCACTTGGAAAATCAAAATATCGTCAAGATAGACAAAAACGAAAATGTTTAACATGTCTCTGAGAACGTCATTAATCAACGCCTGGAACACGGCAGGAGCGTTGACCAAATCGAAAGGAAGAACCCGGCATTCAAAGTGCCCTAAGGGGGTGTTAAACGCCGTCTTCCACTCGTCCCCTTCCCTGATGCGGATCAGATGGTATGCATTACGAAGATCCAATTTAGTAAAGACCTTGGCCCCCTGCAAGATCTCGAAGGCAGATGACATGAGCGGCAAGGGATACCGATTCTTGACCGTGATGTCATTTAAACCTCGATAATCTATACAGGGACGTAATGAACCATCTTTCTTCTTAACGAAGAAAAAACCCGCACTGGCAGGGGAGGAGGAAGGAACAATAGTACCTGCGTCAAGCGAGTCGGACAGATACTTCTCGAGAGCCTCGCGTTCTGGGACAGAGAGAGAATAAAGTCTCCCGCGAGGGGGAGTAGTGCCAGGAAGGAGGTCGATGCCACAGTCATACGGCCGATGAGGAGGGAGAGAAGTGGCCCTGGAGACCGCTCGAAGATCATGGTACTCCTCCGGGACCCCTGACAAATCACCTGGCTCCTCCTGAAAAACAGAAACAGAAGAGACAGGAGGAACAGCTGACAACAAACACTTAACATGACACGACAAACTCCAAGAAAGAATGGAACCATTAGACCAATTAATCTGAGGATTATGTTCAACTAACCAGGGATGGCCTAAAACAACGTGATTATATGGAGAATGCAGAACTAGAAAAGAAATTGTCTCTTGATGATTGCCTGAGACGGTGAGACTCACCGGGGCAGTGGAGAGAATACTACCATCGATTGCGTGGACAGGAGAGGATTCCTTCTGAATAGTGAGGGGGATCCCCTGCTCTCGAGCCCAGGTCTCATCAATGAAATTGCCTTCGGCGCCCGAGTCGATAAGGACCAAACATGAGACAGAAACTCCTGGACAACGGAGACGGGCCGGAAAAGTAGTGCAAGTGCGTGGCGGAGGGTCTAGGGTTGAAGCGCTCACCAGTAACTCTCTCTCTACTGGTGAGCCCTGGCTTTTACCGGGCAGGTGGCGACTAGATGAGAGGCAGATCCACAGTACATACATAGCCCGGCCAAGATGCGGCGTTGGCGCTCAGCAGCGGAGATACGCACCCCTCCCAGTTGCATGGGCTCGGTCTCGGCAGTGGCGGAGGAAGCTGAGGAGGTCGGAAAAATAGATGGGATAATTAGAAACGGCTGGCGATGAATGAGATAATGAGTGTGAATGCGTGTGTGTACGAGGATGCAATAACAAATATGACCAGCAGAGGGAGATAGAGTAAAGGAGAAGGATACCAGGATCATGACACGATTAGTATGTTTTTTTCTTCTTCATTAATGCAGTGCATACTTTTTTCTTTATTTAACCCAAAAGAATGGAAGTGAAATGTGACAACATGCCCCATAGGTGGGGCACATTGTAAAATGACTATATTACAGCTTAAAATGTTATCTGACCAACTATATATGTTGTCAATAAAAAGCAATGATGAACTTTTTCAAAGATAATAAATGATTGGAATTTTTAATAATTCAAAATAATACAGTTTAGAATTTCACAACTAAAACACTGCAAAACACAAAGTTTAAAACATAATAATAATAATTAATAATTTCTAAACATTGATTATCTGTCTTTATTCACTTCGTTCTCATGGTTTCTCAATAGAATTCATAAAAGTTGATCATGTGAATTGTATTGCTAACATCATAGTTGTAATTGTAGCGTAGTGTTAGAACGTGTCACAACTGCGTAACTGGGATTTAAACCTCTTCTGCTGGTTAGATCACCATTAAAGACCTTTCTCAACTCTTAAATAACAGATCAGATATTAAAATAATATCAGAAGTGTCTATATTTAAATAAACAAAAAACAGAGATGGCAACTTTTTTTTATTAAATTAATTAAATGCATTATTTATTTATTATTAAATTAAATTTACTTTTGCTATGGTTAAATAAATGTACATTCATATCTTTGAAAGACTTTTGAGTTTTGGCACAATTTTTTCTCTGTATAGTGTTGATATGGCAACTAGTAAATTTTGTACGATTTGTCATGCTGGCATATGTGGAAACTTTTAAACCACGTGTGTTTATATCTAGCCCCCTCATTAGGTTGTGCCCCGCTCACCCCTATTACTGACATTGTAATAACACATTGCTCACATAAAACAACTCATAAAATGTGCAAACTTGTTACAGGGGAAATCCAAAACTTTGCCTAGAATGGAAACCAGCAAGGTCATCTCGACGGACAAAGCAACGGTCGTCATCCAAGTAAATCCACAGGTGTGTGATGATGGACAGGAGAACAGAGGAGCGTATCACACATTTCTCAAAGCACAACTAAAGGCACTGGGGGTAATGCTTTTAATAATGAATTTGGACAGTATGACGATATATTGTCGTGAAAATATAATGTGTTATACATATCTTCATTTATATTGTGGTATGTAAATATATCAGCGTACCACAGTACTACTTAAAGCTATTGACACATTAGAGAGATAAAGAAACATGAAAAAGAGTACATGATATTAAAAAGAGTTAAGCTCAATAAGCCATGCATAAAGAACTCAAGAGTGGTGTTTACGCTGACTGACACACCTGAAGCACACACACAGAAAGATGCCTCTCTCAGACAGTATGCAATCCCAAATTCAGTTCTCTTTCATGTCTTATTATACTTGAACGGTCACATAAACACACAATTATGTTAAGTGTCGCGCCCCTTTTTTGAATAAACATGAAAATGCACAATCCAAACTTAAATGATTGTAATTCAAGAATGCTTTGGAATATAGATGACAGATAGGTCTTGTTTTTAAGAAGACATTTGGCATATTTTTGTAGAAGTTAAATAAATTAAGAAAGTGAAACAGAAAAAAATGTTATAGAAGTTTGAGTTTATGAAATTGTAAAATGTAAAAAGTTTATTATTCATATTTTATATAAAATATATTTTTTCAAAACCTGGTGGACTCTAAAACTGCAAGAAAATCAAAGCCAAAACTCTGAACAAGTTGTGTTTCAAATTTTAGGTTGATATCTCAAAAAATGAACTTTCAGTAAGATTTTGTTTGGGCGCACTACCAAACGCTTCCTCTAGGTCACAACCAGACTCTATTACTGCCCATATAAGGGCACCCCCATTTCCATATGTGTTTTGAGTGATCTGAAGCATTATTTCCACAATTTTTTATATATTTATATATTAGGCATCCTATTCAAAAGTAGTAAGGCAAGTTTGGCATATTTTGATATGAATTCAACCTCAATAATCACATAGAAACAACACACATGTGCGTTATAGCTCGCTGCCACATCACAAATTGTGAATCTATCATTTTTTTCATTATATTTAAGACATTTTCAGACCTTTTTTTCTAAAAAAAAATGTAATGGATGTTATCTTTTTAACTATTGGCATGAAAACAAACTGAGGTTTCTACCATTCTTTCATGATTTTCATGTTCATCACTATTTCAAAATAAAGGTCTTAACTCGCTTTAGGAGTATGAAAATATTACTGTTGCAAAATGATAGATTACGGCTCTTCTGTAATTTATTTTGGAAAATCAATCACCAAATATGAAAACTACAGATTGTAAGCTTTCAAATGATATATAGTTTGTCATTATTAGTTTAGATTTAGTATAGGATATTACTGTTTTAAATATGTAATGGCTATGGTGCAACTTAAGGGGTTAAAATGCCCATCGTGTGGAGTATTTATGTAAATGCAATTGGTTCTTAAGTAAATGTAAACAGTTGAGTGAAAACCAGTAGGATATTAGATCCATGCAGTAGGTCTTAATGTGACTAATACACCTGATGCTCTCTGAACAGCATTAATAGCTTCTCTCTCTCTCTCTCTCTCTCTCTCTCTCTCTCTCTCTCTCTCTCTCTCTCTCTCTCTCTCTCTCTCTCTCTCTCTCTCTGTTTATGTGTGTGTCCAAACATGACAGATATAACATGACAAAAATATAAAATGGAAAAATATAAACACTTGACCCATATCTGCCCTCTCTAGACTGTCCAGATAATGACTGGAGTGATGGTTTTCTTATTTGGTATTGTGCGCACCACCGATGTCTACAATTTCCCTGCTGTTTCTTTGTTTAGTGGCATAACCTACTGGGGATCCCTTGTTGTAAGTTTTATTTAATGTTCTTGCTTTATTCTCTCTCATTTTAATTTCCAGAATGAACTCTGAAATGTCCTTTGTTTCTTTCTCAGAACATCAGTGCTGGAGCTCTATCTGTTGCTGCGCAGAATAAACCTAATCCGTGTGTGGTACGTACATAATACCCAGCCTCAAAAAGTTGTGATTTACAGTGATTTTAGAAAAGCTAACGGGTGTTGTTTGGTACGAAGCGGAGCGGACAATGCATTTAAATTATGCAGTGTTTACCGCTCCCTATTCTTAGACCACAGGATATCTGTTGAATTGTACTTGACTTGACAAAATGCATTTTAAAGAAATGTAAGGTTTGATGACATTTACTAATATATGTAAGGGTTAATCCACCAAAGATGCTGGAACCCTATTGTGTTTGTACTGAATTTTAGGGTTAAAGTTGGCCCACCGTTACTCAGGCGCACAAACACACACTCGTCTGACACGAGGTAGAGGTATAACAAAGCAATTTGCATTTTGGATCATAACTTTGGGCTAGAGAATGTCTCAGGTTACGAATGTAACCATGGTTCCCTGAGAAGGGGAATGAGACACTGCGTCTTGGATCAGCGCTATGGGGAACGCCATCAATGTGACAATTTCATTGGCCAACATGATGTCACTACCAGAGCTCCCATGTGTATAAGAGGACGCCTGCAATAGACGTCATCAACTTTTTTTTTTGCCTGAAGGAGACATGCAGGCAAGCCCAAAGGATGGCAATGAGATGCAGTGTCTCGTTCCACTTCTCAGGGAACCATGGTTACATTAGTAATTAGAGACATTGCCTTTCGAAGTAGAACTCAAAACTGCGTCTTGGATCAACGCTATGGTGAACAAATAGCCACTCCGCCAAGGGAATGCACTACCACAATGGGCATAGCATTAAAAACTCTACGGACTTGTTTAGCCAGAGTCAGAAGCGTCAATCATACAGGGCCCATCCTAAGAGTCATAGGGCCCTATCTTGCACCCAGCGCAATTGACTTTGTACACCGACGCATGTATTATTCCTATTTTGCACCCGCGCAAAGCGGACTTTTCCCTCCACAGACGCACGTCAGTAAATTAGGGAATGAACTTGCGCACGCGGGGGGCGGTTCAGCGCAAAGAGGAGGCGTGTTCCGGCGCAAACGTTGCCTGGTGCTATTTTGCAGTTTGAGAAAACAATTCCGCCACTGACCAGGAAAAACTTAGTCTAAAGTCAGTGGCGCGTTGCGCATTAGTCATATGCAATTTTATGGGCGCATGCTTGGCCATTATGTAGCGTGTGAACAACGCGCATACACTTTGATTCTCTAATCTAAACAGATGCAGCAGTTTTCATTTTTGCAAATCATACATTATTACAAGGAAAAATATTACCACATGAGGGAAATCATTGTTGTGTCTATGAAGATGTGAAAAAAATAGGCATAAATCTAGCTTACACATTTTCCCAAATTATTATACGCCTGTTTAACCGAAGCTAATTTGGGTGGGTTTCTCCATCCCCATACAACGTCACTTCTCTGTCTTTTACGGCCCTGACGAGAACGTCGGTCTCCTCGGCTGTGAACCGCTCCTGGCAAATCCGCCGTTATAATAACAATCCGCCATGAAAGAAGTGCCCCTGGTCTTAAAGGGAATGTGAGATGACGCTCTGATTGGTTTATTTCACGTTACGCCCAAACCACACCTATGAATAATGAAGCTACTTCAGACCAACCCTTTTTAGATTTGCGTCAGGTGCAAGAGTCATTTATCCCGCCAGTATAATAGCAACAGCGCCCGGGATACGCCCACAAAGTTACTTGCACTTTGCGCTTGATACTTGCGTTTCAGATCGTTAAAATAGGGCCCATAGACTGTCAAGTGGTAATATTCCCCTAGACCATTACCCAAGCTCATATGCCCTGTGACAAGGAAAGTCCTGGCCTTTTGCAACCTTCCTGCCTTCTTTGTACTCCCTTTCTTTATGATAACAGGAAGAGCTGCCAGAAGGCAAATTAATCTCTACTTGCCAGGTTCTAAGAGATCAGTTTAGGCTCCAACAGGACCCTGCTTTAAAATTCAGACAGTAGGGGAGGGCTCTACCCTAGACTCAGCCCAGAAGGACAGCCCAGACCTGTCCACAGTATCATGACTCCTAGTACCTGACAAAGGTGCCTGATAACAAGAAGAGCTGCTTAAAGGCAATTTAACCTATACTTGTTAGGTTCCCCAGGGCCGTTTGAGCTCCAACATGGAGTGGAGGACCCTACTTTAAAACCCCACAGCAGGGGAGGGTACTCTACACTCACACTTGTCCATGGTCCCAAGACTCCCAGCACCTGACAAAGGTGTCTCGCAAGAAGCAGTGCTGACTGGTGTAACAAGAGAAATCTTTCTAATTCGAAATACCTCATGGAAGACCTCTTTATAAGGTTCTAGAAACACAACAAAGTCAAGGAGAGTAGACTGTGTCACTTCCACTTTTCTCTCTCCTATCAAGAAGCCGCTAAGTTTGATAAACCTCATGTTTCAGGTCCTCTAAATCTGACTCAAATATCTGAGAAAAGACAAACAGAGATTCCTCATTCAAGAATGTTGTGCTCTTTGGGTTGAGAGACTGGACCCCTTGAATTATCTCACAATTCTTCTTTGAAAAATGCCTCTGCAGTTCAGCTGTGTGACTGTCAAGTCCCTGATCAAATATAGCTCTTTGGAAGCTCTCACCATCACTTTGGTCACTATTTTTCTGTCTTACAGTGCTCCTCATCAATGAGCCACAAAATCTTAAGCTTGTTTTAGATTGTATTTTACACACTTTGTGTACACTTATTTTGTAGTGTACAAACTCTACAATCTCTTTCCGTAGTTATCCAAAGAGTAGTTGGGGGCCTTAAGCACATTTTCGCGCAAATTCATCTAAAAGCGCCAAATTTGGCACAGATGTAGCTCACATCATACTGAAATGATTTAGCTAGGGCGCCGGAGACAGCGACCCTCGGGGCCAAGATGGTGGCCAAATCCAATATGGCCGCTGCCTGAAAAGGGTTCCGGTCAAAAAAGGTAAAATAGACATCAAGTTTGTATTTGTATCTCATCTGGCTCAAAAGCTATAGCCGAATCCCTTTCAGGCAGCGGCCATATTGGATTTGGCCGCCATCTTGGTCTCAGGGACCATTGGCTCGGGCGCCCTGGCTAAATCATTTCAGTATGCCCTCAGCTACATCTGTGCCAAATTTGGTGCTTGTAGATGAATTTGTGCAAACAATGGGGTGTAAGGCCCCATACTACAGCCCAAATTGCTTTTTTGGACAGCGGCCATATTGGAATTGGAGGATCAAGGGGTCCAGATATACTGGGTCATAAATATAAACATTCCTATGTGTTTCCCATGATCAATTAAGCTGAAAAACATATCAAGTTTGTATTTGTAACTCATGTGGTTCAAAAGTTATAGCCGGAACCCTTTTCGGGCAGCGGCCATATTGGATTTGGCCTCCATCTTGGCTCCGAGGGTCGCTGGCTCCGGCGCCCTAGCTAAAACATTTCGGTATGACCTGTGCTACATCTGTGCCAAATTTGGCGCTTTTAGATGAATTTGCGCGAAATCACCTATTTATGTGCTTAAGGCCCCCCAACTAGTAGTTATCCAAAGAAACCTTCACTTCTCTAGTTCTGTAATGTGTTTGTAAAGCCACCTACTATGACCATAGCCCTTGCTAGGTCAAGAGAGCTTGATTGGAGCATGTCAGAGAGACATTTGGCATCACCAAGCAAGCACTTTACAGAAGGTAACCAAAAGCCCTGTGAAATGTATTTCTATCTGATAAAGATTGCCCCTTGCCTCCACTGATCCATCACCACCATTTTCAAGTGTTATATCCCATTGCACTTTCAGGACTGCTGGAAGCCTTTCCCTCAGATTACGGCAAGCCATGTATCTGCATGCCCACCTTACATCCGTGAATCTCTGTAATTCCCTGGGCTGCTACTCAGGATACAGCTCCTTCTGAACTGCACACAATGAGAATCTTGCACTGTTTTTAATCAATGCATACACACCAGAATGCTTTCTGCTCATGACAGATGCACCGACATAGCCTTGCCCCACATTTATATTTCTGTAGTCCAGGCCTGTTTTTCAAGGCAATCTATTATCATTTGTGTGAGGCCTGCTGCATCTAAGCTTTCACCTGACTGAAAGTGTAAACCACTTTTGTGGATGGCCCCAACATGTGAGGTCAGGAAGTTCGGTCTGGACTTGATCCGTTGTGGAGCAACTTTGCTGTTCGGACCACTCAAAGTGTCAGGGGGGGCTTTATACGATGATGGACAGATGATCAACAGTAACGTAATCATCCACGTCACCAAAGAGCGCTTGGGTTGAATTTGTTTACAACAAAGGTGGCTGCCACAGGAGGACTGAGATGTGTAGATTCAGCCATCTTGTCTGTTAGAAGATGTAGACAGCGCATTCATTTTAAAAGAGGAACAGAGAACCGCGATCAAGGCATTTGTCAATCGGAAAGATGTTTTTGCCGTCCTTCCTACGGGATTCAACATTCGTCACTTACTCCATTGCTCAAGGGTGCGTTTCTCGTACAACGACGTAACCCGATGCTTCACTAACATAGTACAATGCATCGTTGAAGAAATCAACTAGCTAGTCACGACTGTTTCCCGAAACCGTATTGTCGCAAAGTGGTCGTTCAACCACATTGGTTTATAACTTCACGCACGTGGTGGAGTAATAACTTATTTTAATGAAACTGTTTGACATCGAATTAATGCTAGATGTTTTGATATAAATTACAGACATGGCATCTGAGGAATATTTCAAATTTTTCTCAGTTATTTCGCTTTATTTCAAGATTTAATCAGAGCTCGTTCTTACATAGTAGCGCACTCTTCAAAAACGGTGCTTTAAATCTCTTGACAAACTCAAAGATGTAAATGACAGTTGTATTTATTCTAAATAAAAGACACAGGTTGTACTAAATGTCAGCTTGCTTATTTTGCTCAAGATAAAGATTTATTAAGTTCACATGTCATGCAAACAAGAAACTCTGCTTCTAACCACAGGTCAAGATCTGTCGCGCAAACACACAACTCTGCGATGCTGGTTGCGAATGTTCGTTGGAACGATGGTTTCGGGAAACACCGACTCGTTGAACTGCTGATAACTACAGACCTTGCGACCATAGTTGGCTAACGATGCTTTCGGGAAACACACCCCTGATTAGTTGTAGGTCTATCCAATTGAGTGCAGAGACATTTTCTTTCCTGGTTCGGTTGAAACACGCCCCATAATCACAGCCCAATGAAGCAGTATCAGACTCACATTCTGACTAGAATCTGAGTATGACGACGTCAGAAGAGTTAAACATTTCATTCACGTGCTGTTCTGAGCGCGTACACCCGCAGCGCGCTCACTAAAAGCCTGCTGCGCGTGAGTACTAAACTAAATTAACTAAAACTGAACTAAAAACTGTCATTTACATACGAGGTAGACAGTTGGGAAAAAATCGGATGTGTGTCTGTATCCGTGCTGCATGAGCTCTTAAAGTGACAGCAATCTAATATTATAAACAGGCTGCTGCTAGTCCTTAATGTTAATAAAACAACAAAAGAGTAAATAACTCACTGCTCTTTACTGAAAAACTTTAGTAGCTTAAATAAGAGTATAATTTACACAGTGAAGTCTATGTGGTGTTTTTTTTTTTTTTTTTTACATTTGTTTATTCAATAGGCCTACACCTACTGTGGCTGAAAAAAATGAAGCACTGCATGTTTATTCAATTTGTATATTATGTTGTGTATTTGTAATGGGCATCTTTCTTCTTATTTTTAATAACAAAAATAAAATAATGAAATTATATTTTATAATTATAATTATATTAGTATTTTGTTACCTTGTAAGGCTAAATTTTTAAAATAGGGAAATTTGTTTGCCTGTACTGCTCTGTCATTTGCAACATAGTCAAAAACAAAAACATGAAAAGAATCATGATAAAATCATGATTTTACTGAATTTATTTTTTATATGATATTTTTGCCATATTGCCCACCCCTAAAAGAGGCTATAACAGAACAGTGCTACAATGCCACGTAAAAGTAAAAAAAAAAAACGTAAAAAAAAAACTATGGCAAGTACATGAGCACCATTAAGGAAATTAAGGATTCCTGCTCCATCTATGATGACCAGGATGACATTTTGGGTGCAAGCACTTGTGCTTGTCTGAGTTCTTTTGAGGTTGTGCTGTGAACAAGGTCTGAGATCACTTCAGTGCTCAAGAGGACCAAAAAAAAGTACCAGGTTCTCTATTGAGTCCACTATATTGTGAACACCAAAAGGACTGAGGTCCCTTTCAGCTGGTTCCCTTTCTGGTTCACTTTAAGTGAACTGGGTTTGGTTCTTTTAAAATGAAGCCCTTTTCCTAGTATCATGCTGAGTTCTGGGAAATGATTTCAAACATGTCTGTACAGGACCCTGTCTAAAAATGCAAAATAAATAATATTATAATGATAAATTATGTGTCATATCTCTATGGAAATGTATACCCCTTAATGTCACCCCCCTTTTTGAGAATGGACGTGAAAAAAGACTATCCAAATGTAAATGGTTGTAATTCAAGAATGCTTTGGATCTAAGACCTAAGTCTTATCTTAAAGAAGACATCAGCAGATTAAATATAAAAAAATGAAAGTATGAAAAAGTTATGGATGTTTAAATTTACTGCAAATTAAACTATTTTTTTCTTTTATTTAAAATATGTATTTTAGAAAATATTTTTTACTCTAAAATTACTCTAAAATCAAAGCCATATGTTGTGTTCAAAATTTGAAGTTGATATCACATACTCACATTGACTCGGGTGACTCAAATGGATTTTTTTAATGCATTCTGTTGTGACAAACTATCACAAAATATAATATCACATAGAGGGTTAAAGGAGAACTCCGGCGCAAAATGAACCTTTGGTCTAATTACACATTGTTACCTAGTCAACCGTTATCTGACATTTGTTTTCATGATTATCGAATGTAAATAGTTTTATCTCTAAAAACAGTTTAGCCTATAAAGCTAGTATAACGCTAGTATATTGGGCATAGATCAATGACAAATAAAAATCGCTTGTTAATACCACTAACAAGGCTGAAAATAGCCCCACACTAACACGGCAGCATAATGAGGGTCCCTACCTTCAAACCGAAGCATTGAGAACTTTGTCAGTGTCCAGACAGTTTAATAAGAAGATATTTTAAACATACAGTCAACTTCGCGTATACAGACAGAAGCCATCTTTGAAATACAGCCTTTACCAGTCGATCTACGAACGCCGATCCAAGTGCGCTGGTGAGATGTGAACGAGCTATAAGTTGTGATAAGGTGAGCGCGAACAGCAGGCTTGGATCGGCGTTCGTAGATCGACTGGTAAAGGCTGTATTTCAAAGATGGCTTCAGCCTGTATACGCGAAGTTGACTGTATGTTTAAAATATCTTCTTAAAAAGCGATTTTTATTTGTCATTGATCTATGCCCAATATACTAGCGTTATACTAGCTTTATAGGCTAAACTGTTTGTAGAGATAAAACTATTTACATTCGATAATCATGAAAACAAATCTCAGATAACGGTTGACTAGGTAACAATGTGTAATTAGACCAAAGGTTCATTTTGCGCCGGAGTTCTCCTTTAATCGTTACTCGCAGGTAGCTTGACTATGCTTACATTTTTTATGACTTAGAAGTGAGAATGGGTTTTCATATGTTTGTGCATGCATACAATGGGATCAGAAAAAGTCCTCATTCTTAGAGATGTGAAGCCTTTAGACTCATTGTACTCCATTGGTGGATTTGCATAAACAGAATAAAAGGCTACCACAATTATGTCCATGGTAAACTCTTTTACCTCTGTGTCTGTAACTAGCACATCCTGTTATTGTTGGACAGATGCACCGATGCTTTTTGAGCTTTATACTCAGAGTGTACCAATCGAAATTCAAAGAGTGCAAACTGTGTGGTTTATGCTTCTCTAGACATTATTCTAAGTTTTCTTAGTTCAATAAAACATTCATCCTTTTATCACCAGATCAAGACAATTTAAAAACTGAACTGAGGACGTTTTACAAGTGTATGCCATTATTATTCTTTCAATGTTCATCTTTTCTTCCTGTATACTGTAGATGAATTCCTCTCTTGCCATGAATGTTCTCAGTGCCGTAACGGCAGGGCTCGCCATTCTTCTCATATCCATGGAGATAGGACTCGGCTCAGGGACCAGCAAGTATCAAAGCTGTCCCAAAACCTACGGTCGAACTGAAGACACTATGTGTTTAAAGTTTGAGGTACTAAATGTATAGTTTACAACCCCAAATCAAGAAAAGATGGGACATCTTGTAAAACACAATAAAATCAAGAATCTGTGATTTTGTTAATTATCTTGAACCCTTAAGTGACAAAAGTAAAAGAAAAGTTTTCAATGACCAACTTGTAAACACATTTTGATTTTGATGGCAGCAACACACTCCAGAAAACAGAGGCATTATTAGGTATATATTTGCAATGTCCTTTTAATTACACGTTTTAATCGTTTGGGAATTGAGGATACTAGTTCTTGAAGTTTTGCAAGTGGAGTTTTTACCCAATCTCGCCTGAAACCAGACCGCCGCTCAACAGTCTGTGGTTGTAAGTCTGATTCTCCTCTTCACGATGGGCCGTACGTTTTAATAAGAGGCAGATCTGGACTGCAGGCGGTGGTCAAGCACATCTATGGTGCAGTGTCTAGAAAACACTGTTTCATCACGTGCAGAATGAGGCCTGGCATTGTCTTGCTTCCCATGAAAGATATCATCTTGATGGCAGTATCCAGCTTCTTTTTCACTTTAAAAGTAAAATGTCCTGTAAGTGACCCAAAATGACATGTCTAGAGAGTGGTGCTAAAAGTTTAAAAATAAAGTACCAACTACATTAAACCCAGCCCTAAACCTAACCGATAGAATTAACAAATCAAACGTGAGATAAAAAAGCATGTGCTAAAGCAACCATGCCATTTTAGCTTTTACAAGTGTTTGAGCTCTTTTATGGATGGTTGTGATTCATGTTTTTCAGGACTTGTACCCGAGTGCTATGTATTATATATATATATTTTTTTATTTTTTTTAGAGATATGATCTGGGGATCCTTGGGATATTGCTGGTGTTCTCCGTCCTCCAGTTCATCATCTCCATCTGTATCTCAGCGTTCGCCTGCAAAGCCTCCAGCAACTACGACTCTACAGTGGTTCATGTGGCACTCACTGGGTAAATGATGAAGTGGTTAAGCTAGCAGAATATATAATAACCATAAACATGTTGCCTTGTACTGCATTTAATCTCAGTGGTCTGGAACTACAATAGTCTAAACTATCTTTAGTCTTCTATTGTTGAGATGTAGTTATGTTTAATAGCAAATAAACAATTTACTCCTAATTAATATTTTATCAAAACAATATAAAAACTATAATTCAATCATAACATGCTTCACTGTAAACTCCAGCCTTGTTCCTACTACTAGACCATTGAAGTAGCTGACACTGGGCTTTTCTCTTTGTTTTTTTTTATCACAGTATAGCCAATAATACAGTCATTGGTGTGTGGATCTCTTGTGTACTAACATATCTTGTCTGTTACTTACCAGGGATACTGAGTCACAGTGAGGAGATCCAACCGTCCAAAGGTTGCAAGGAATGAATCTCTCATATTATTGCTTCCAATGACTCAAGCTAGTTTTTTTCCCTCTAGTGTTACGGGAATTGAACAGAAAAAGAATATTTGTGCATATTTTATAATGATTGTAAAATTAACTTGCTGAGCTTTGTTTTTAACCCTGGTCAAACACATCTGAACGAGCTAATGGAGGTATTCAGGTCTTCCAGAAACTCGATCGGGACGAGTTTGATCAGGGTTGGAGCAAAACTCTGCAGGACCTTGATGGGCAACACCAGTCCCGGCTGCGTCCGAAAACTGACAAACGCTGCCTTCAGAGGAGGTCTAGAAGGCATCAAGGCATGTCGAACGCAGTCTTAGTTTCACTTGTCTCCTGAGATTCCTTCATCTGATGGATTTAAGGCAGCATAGATGTATCCTTCACTGCCTTTGATATCCCACAATCCTGTGCTTTCCATTCTGTGACAGTTGAGCTGGAAAAATAAAGATGTCATCTAAAAGTTGCGGCCGGTTGTCAGTTTGTGTGTATATGTACATTTTTGATCATCGTTTTCAACTTATGATGTCAGTTCTAGTCATAAATCACTATTGTAGTCATTAACCGTCTGAGCCCGAAGAATGCGCCGGCGTTCTGCTGGATGTTTTTCTCATGACAGCGTAAACAACTTAAAATACTCTGTCATTTTTGGCCATAAATATTAGTCAATATTAGGGCTGTCACTTTTGTGGATTTTTGAGACATAAGTGTTCATTGAATCGATTGTAAAATCGATTTTGCATCTAAAGACGTTTCCATTTTCAACACCAAATACAGGCAAATCCACGGACACCTAACAGGCATTAGGACGAGCGTAAAGAGGCGCTTGAGAGCAATATTCCTGATGATTTATTGGCGTGAAGTTTCAGCACAATGACAAACAGGAGCCCAACATTCAGGGATTGAGATTAACACCCTCCGACTCGCCAAATGCGGGTAAGAATAAACTTTGGCGGGAAACGCTGTCGAATCACGAGCCAATCTGGCGTTTCTGTGTTTACTCACTTTGCTGGGGAAGTTCGTGTTAGCCAAATCTGTGCGGATTTAGCGCAAATACGCAACTCGTGATCCTCATGATATATTAAATACAGCGTATTGCAGAATCTGCGCATTTCTGGCTTACTTGAACACACACACACACATACACGTCACTATGCAACAAATAACGGCGCACTCGTTCACTTGCATTGAAGTAATAGCGAATATTAAAAAGCATTTGGTGAACAGAAAAGACATTGTTATTTTCCAGCATCCTACATGTTCTGTGTGCTGTATTGATCTGTCCACCTAAAACATATTTTTGGTTAAAAAAAGGCAGTTAAAATCGATTCCCTATTTTCGTTTTCGAAACTTGTGTTGGTTGGTCGGATCGATTGCGCAATCGATTTTCGAACATAAAGTGACAGCCCTAGTCAATATACATCATTATGAACTATAAAGGATCTACAGTTGTGTACACTCACAATAACAACAAATCCTTGTGTTTTTGTAAAATAAAGAAAACAGGGTGAGCTTTCAGCTGTCGCTGTCTCCGTGAGAAACTTTCTGAAAGACGTCTGAATAATGACCTGAAACTCAGCGAATATTTATCACACAAACATGAAACATATTTCCAAAGAAAGCTTGAAATGTCTACTTTTTTTAAAATAAAACAATTCACATTTAAAACAGATATTCTTCTGCAGTGTAATCTGTATGGAACTAAAGAGATGTACAGAATCTCCCGGCTCAGCTAATTATCGTTAATGTGATCACACACACACAATTAATAAGATAATGTGTTGAGGCGATATGGTAAACGCCCCCAACAATGCCTGAAAAAGTTCCATCATCAGATTCATTCACTTTCCTGCGCGTTTGAGACGCCACACAGGCGAGGAAGCTCTTCTTCAACTAGTCCTGGATAGTGTAGTTACACACGATCCGTCAGAAATCACTCTAATATACTCATTTGATGCTCAAGAAACATGTCTGATCATTATGAATGTTGAGAACAGTTGTGTACATTTTTTTTTCAGAATTCTTTGATGAATAGAAAGTTCAAAAGAACAGCATTTATCTGAAATAGAAATCTACTGTAACATTATTCACTACCGTTCACAAGTTTGGGCTCAGTAAGTTTAGTTTTTTGTTGCTGTTGTTGTTTTTAAAGAAATTAATAGTTTTATTCAACGAGCCTTATATTGATCAAAAGTGACAGTAAAGAAGACATTTATAATCTTACAAAATCTTTCTATTTCAGATAGATGTAGTTCAGCAAAGAATCCTGAAAACTGTCTTCAAAACAATCATAACTGTTTCTTGATCATCAGATCATCATATTAGAGTGATTTCTGAAGGATCATGTGACACTGAAGACTGGAGTAATGATGCTAAAAATTCAGCTTTGATCACAGGAATAAATAGCATTTTAAAATATGTTTAAATAGAAAATATTTTTAAAAAATCTTTTTTATTTTTATTTTATATCACTGTTTTTGCTGTATTTTGGATCAAATAAACGCAGCCTTGGTTAATCAATAAAACCCTCGGATGTCCACAATTTGTGTCGATGAGATCAGAAAAATATTTGTCTCTCAGAGTTTTAACCAATTTTGGTTAACCAACCGAGGGCCGTCGGCACAAAAAAAGTCTAATAAAGCAATATGAACTGTCAACAGAAACATGTCTTGGCAAAAAAAAAAAAAAAAAACTACTAAAAAGAGAATATATATATTTTCCATTTTATTTATTTTATAAATGCGTTTATCAATAGCTCAGAAATGGTAAAACTCTTCTTTTTAGTACGACTCCAAACTTTACGGCTCCTATAGTTTACACAAAGAAAACAAAGCAAATGTCCTGCCTGTATCTGTTTTGATCATACAATCATGATTAAACTCTTTTTATTTTCAGAGTTTTTAGAATTACGCATTATGGTTTTGATTTACACTTTTTTTGACAGTGTTTTAATTCAATTAACAACAACCAAACTGTCATATACGGAAATATTTTCCTTACAAAATTGTTTCAGTAAAGGTGGGGTTACCCAATTATACAATATATGAGAGATTAATATTGGAGGATATTTCCTTGGATGGGGTTTACCACACAAATCATTAATACTCGAATGAGATTAATGCAATATAATTGTATAATAAGGACATAGATGTTCCACCATGCCATATGAGGGCGCCACCTCCCGAGTATTAACACACACCGGATCAACAAATACAGTCTATATAAGCCTAAATCTATATCCTTCGCCTCATGAGGCTTTCTGGGAACTATGGGAGTAACTAAAACAATCAGCAAAAGGTCCACTACTCGCCATTCAACCTTTGTACATTAAAGGGAAATTTAAAAGTGCAAAAGCATTCATAAATGACTACAACAGACAACGAATAAGCCCAAAAGCTTGATTATTTCCACACAAATATTACTGATGTGTTAAATATCATAAGTCTGTATTATGTAACAAAAGTTGCCTAATCAAAAATGTTCATTCACGGGAAGATTGAGTGATGATATTTCCATCATTTTGACAGACAGTAAATATTGTATTCATCTTTAAAAGCTTTCCAGTAAACACTAATAGAGATTAGAAGTTAAACGGGGAGACAAGTACATTTTACAGCATCCGTGTGGAAAACCTGGACACAGGCGTAAGGATTTATGGAGAAAAACGAGAGATTCTCAGTGCATTCCCGTTAATTATTCATGGGATAATTAAATCGGGAGAGCAGAACACAAATGCAAATATGTTGTCTTTTTTTCATATGTAACAGCAGAATACAAATGAAAAAAATAATAATCAGGAGGAATATGATGCAAAGCGCTTTTAATATTTGGATAATGGTTATTTGTAGCTCAGCCTTATGATCTGAAATCATTTGTTTCAGTCTTTTTGTGTGGAAATTCCCCAAACCGGAAGTGCCACCGGTAATCTGAAACGTTCGTCAGGGAAAAGGTGGAAATACAACATAATATAGACTGAAAGTTTGTTACAGTGCATTTCCCCTGTGACGTTAAATACATGCCAGCCTCATTTTCCTGATCAATGCTAAAGTGCAATAATAATTTAGCTAATTAATTTCCCTGCATGTGTAATTGTGAGGGATGCATTGATTCACTTTATCTCTCAAGGCAAGTTACCTTTATTTTTATAGCACTTTATACAATAGATTTTTTTTAAAGCAGCTTTACAATAATAAACAGGAATTATCAATTTAGGAACCTCTGGTCTAATTTACAGTGGGCATAAGTCAACATTTTCCTAACATTAATGAGGTTTTTATGGTGCTTATGTACCCTTTTCTGTTCATTTTAAAGAGCTTTTGAACCCATCAGAGGTAATGGTTGCCTGTCAGGTTTGAGTGTGTGTTGCTGTGGTCCTGGATCCTTCACAGCCGGTATTGTGTATGTGATGTGACACACAGTGCTTTCACCTGCTGTATGAGCGAGAGACGTCTTTCATCATTCATTCAGTGGCAACATCTGCTTCAGCTCAGTGGCAGGATCAGGATAGTCTGGGGTTTTGTCCCGGTAACCAGAGTCATTATTCCTGGAACAGCTGAGGAGATCAGATCAGCAGTGACGGCGAGCCTGATGTCAGACTGCTCTTTCAGCAAACGCTTGGAGATACGAGGCACGATCCAGCCCTCACGCTCTTCCTGCATCACCATTCACTATAGAGGCCTGAATCTGGCCATTTATATATACATATACTGTATGCATAGGCCTATATAAGATACATAAAAACATTCAAAAGAAATTGCAAGAAATTTGTAAAAAAAAAAAAATCATTTTATTTTTTTTTATTTTTGTATATGTGTATTTATTTCTACACAGAAATAAATACACCACTATTTGTATATACTAAAATAATTGAATAATTTTGAACAAAATCAGGCCGAAACTAATTTAGTTTGGAGTTTGTTCTGTGAGTTTGAAACAGCTTGCCCGAGCGTATTGTCACAGCTTTAGTACGGTGGGGGAAGTTGTAATTGCCTGATTGGCCAGTTTGAATGTCTCACATTTGCACATTTGTACCAAACCTAGCTTTTAATTTATAATTGTA